AACAAATAATAACGATAAAAGACGATCAGTAATGTTAAACTCAGCCGTGGACTTTTAAAGAAATTACTTTTTATTTGTCCTTGAAGAATTTGTTTATCGGTCTACTTTTGTACTTTGTAAGTCACATCCAAACTCGCCACTTGGACACTTATTCACAGGTTGTACGAAAAGTGAATATGTAAAAACATGGACTTGCTGTGTCATTGACGACACTGCTCTTCATGACACGCACACGTTATATCGTAGTTTCAGTCGAGGTCGTAATAGATCGGCCATTCAACAGGCTGAAAGCTAATGAAGCGGTACGATGTGTTAGATGTGCGAGCGACATTAAAAAGACAGACATATGGTTCGGCAAGTTGGTCAAATCTCGAAGCAAGCAAGCAACAATTTCCAAGGATTCGTTGCCCAAGGATGAAAGTAAATAAGAAGAAAAACGAGTAAAGTCAATCTTTCTGGCTGCAGAGTTCCCATCCCGTTTCCGCCATCAATCTTACGGTCAGAAAATATGTACACATGAATCCTCCTGATATTGTATAAAAATTAAGGAAAGCAACTTGACCGATGACCGTTAGCTTTAATAATTTAATAATTGCCAGGTTAATCGCTTTGACCACATCTCACACCTGCCACGCTCAACATTCTTATCGCACACTCATTTGCGTGACAATATGGTCGCGTGTCCATGCGAATGATTAAATCAAAAGTTTTCGCTTTTCTCCAGCGGCGTATACGAGTGCGCGTGTGGCTGAATGCCTGTGCGTGCGCCACGCGTGTCTTGCCTACCGCGAAGGGAACGCCATTCGAGTAGTGTTCTCCAATCATCTTTTTAAAAAAGACAAGCCGCTCTCGACGTTTATTACAATTTGATATAGTATTCACGATGTTATGCTTTGGTCAAGTGAATAATGAAATAGAACCATCCCGGAAGCAGAACACTTCAAGTAAGATCACTCCCATTGAAACTGATTGAGCGCTCCTCGGATAAACGCCGATATTTATTTAAAAAATCGATTAAAGAACCTCTTCCCATCGCAAGTCGCCGAAGAAGCTTCTCTATCGCTTTTCTACTTTCCGGCAACGCGCTTGGTTGCATCCGTTATTTTTCCTCCAAAGCGTTGGGCTTTCCAAACTTCCATTGTTCACTCTTGTCTTTGGCGAAGTGGACAAATTATCCATCCCGTGTATAATACTTCGGTCTTATAACTCGAGGTATAATACTTCGGTTTAGTCCGAAGGCCATAGCAATGTTCAAAGCTGTACACTTTGAATCTGCATTAGAGCTAAAAATTCAGCCAACTTTCTGTTCCTCTTTCTCTTCATCGGTACCAAGGTCCTAGCTTTTACGACAACAGTGCTCGCTTTTAGTAGATATCCGTGGCCTAAACATCGGGACATTGGTACCACGCTCTACGCGACGAATCCAATCGGCTAGTCAAAGAATACTCCGCGATTTATAACGCCCTATTTTCTCTTACGTCTTAACTTTCCATGTAATTTAATTTACATTGCGGCTCAATTGTTCCCAGTCACACCTAAGCTGTTGCTGGACCGCTTCTTTTTTAATATCCAGAATTACTTGTCTATCTTAAATCTTTTATTGGATAAATTTCAATCGTTTCATTTCACCTTAAACTATTTTTATTGTAATAGCGAGAAACACGAAGCGAGAAGCCTGTTCTCGACGGTATTGTACCAACTTACTTTATTCATCTCATCGATTAGATGTACTTTTACGCCAAGTGCTGTATTTCACTTATCTGTCAAAATTACACATATACAACTTTGATTTGCCGTCAGCCATACATTTTAAAAGATTCAGACGTGTTTAAAAGCTATTTGAACGATTTTCCTTAACTTGAACTGAATTAATTACAGATGAAAATAGTAATTATGCGTACAATAAAGCATTTTTCATTTCATTGCTCAACTCTTGGTTAAATTATTATACTTGTCTTTAGGTGAATGTGATTTGGCTAAGAGCTGACTGTACGTTTCATTTCAATTTGATCGGGTCGATCGAACAAACAGTAGGCCAAGCCTTAACCAGATTTTTTTACACAGACCCTTATTTACAGACCTGATAGCGATTATATTCTCTTATTTCTAGATTCTCGGATTCATGCATCTAAAATGTCCAATGTATCCAAATTCCTCTAAATCAATCTTTTATCAACGTATATCAGCAAGTAAACAATATCTTTTAATATATAAATAGTATTTATCAATTGAGTGGCAATGGATTTTGACGGAATTTAATAAACAAGAGTTTTTGAGGCTGCTAAATACAAGTCTGTCATCTGAAGGGCTTGATCAATGCAATGAATACAAAAAAGCTATAATTGAAAAGAGTGCGGGAGTCACGCGCGCCAAACTACGCTAGTTGTAATAGCAAATCAGTGGTTCGTTGTGACTCTATAAATTAGTAAACTGACAATGAATATTATGAAAATAATCAAAAACATACTGGTTTTTGATCTAACAGTTTACAGTTAGTCCTGATGAGTATTACTGGCATTTCGGATTGCTTATTAAATCACTAAATCAAGAATTCATTTCGAAAATCAAACTTTGCTAACGATTCAATGTGAAAAACTATCTAAAATTTTCCGAAAATTGGACTTGAGAGTTGAGTGGACCATAACTGACATAATAGCGTGGCATGTCTTCTTTTACTTGTATACGCAGTTGACGTGGTAAATCTCACAAAGCCTTAACGCAGATTCCGAGGCTCTGCACAGAGTTTGCAATGGGAGCTGCCTGAGCACGCTATACGGCCTTTTGCTTATCTGCACTTGTCAAGTTAGCCTCAACTTACAGCTACTTTCGGTGACGAGACTGTCAAAGAGAAAGAAAGGATTGGCAATGTATGTAGTGCTCGTGAATTCGAAAGGAAAAGCCGGCGGCACCTTGTTATAAGTATTGGCGCGATAAATCGTGCAGCCCTCGCAGGCCCGCGCACGTCTACGTCGGTATATTTCTTCATTTCCTCTCCGTATGCCACAAAAGCTTCTTTTTCGCTAGCGCGAGTGGCACGCACATTATTTCCGCAGCGCTCCCGCTCTCTTTCTCTCTCCTTCGAAATCGGAATTTACCGCGAGCGCTTCCCACCCACATCCATTAAAGCGTTGCTGCTGCCGTTGCTGCCGCCGCTGCCGCCGCTGCCGTCATTGCCGCCGTTGCCGCCGTTGCCGCCGAGAACAGAGAGTATTTTGACAAAGACTCAACTCTAGAGCATAAGCCGCATACTGAGCTTCACAGGCTTCGATATCAACAACGCATTGGGCCCCTTTCAAACCGGTTGAAAGACTACCTAACTTTCGAATGCGATTTCTTCAGTCGTCCAAATTGTTTGCTTTAGTTATTTTCGGTCTTGCCCATCAAAACAATTATTACCATCAACCATTTCCAGTATTAATCATCAAAGCTACAGCTCGAGTCGACTCCTATAACTTATGATACGTCGCGTCAATTTTAACGTACCAGTGTCATTAAGCGCTCATCTCTTGTCTAAATTAATATTCAGCCTGACGCTTGAAATTACAAATTCTAAATCCTGTCTATTTAGAGTGCTGCCAGTTTGAGAGGATAACCTTCGGAGGCATTGCGCCAAGTACCCTCGTGTCGATAAGAATTTGAATGTTAATTAATTCGCATGGCAAATTGATGGTTAAGATAAACTCTTGTACGCCAGTAGCGATCAGCGTTCAGGATGTTTGTTAAAGCTTTCCGGCCTATCGAACGCCCCCCCCCCCCCCCCCATACACGACTCTGCGACGCGACTGCGGCTGCGCACTCGTCAACTCCGTGAAGCAGCCTGCACTGCACTCTTTTTCTATTTTTAAATATTTTTCAATCATCGCTTGCTGAATAGACAATTTGCCATCAGCTGTCGCATAACTTGCCGACAAGCGCATTTGCAATCTACAAATCTATCTCTTGACCATCGTTTTGCCCACTATTTAAATTGGTGCTATCGGTATCCGTCATTCAATAGCGGCAAAAGAGCGATAATCATTACTTTTTCTGGCTATTCGATGATTAATGATCAAATTTTACTTATTCGTCTATCGACGAGTTAGCTGAAGAGAGCGACCTAGTGTGCAAAATGTTTTAGCGCGATATTCAATGTCAGTTTCCCAATGTCCTAATGATCGTAGTGGTTATTATCGGTCGTCATAATACAAAATCGTTAAATATTATCGTCGATAAATCGATAGTCGGCAAAAAATTATATCAAATCCGATCGGTGAAAAGGCTTGAAACGCTTTCTGATTATCTGTCAATCATTTTTAATAATTATTAAACTTGCCAACAAGCGTCCAAATAACAATTAAGCAACATGCAAAGCCTCTCAAAGCTAGGACGAACTGAAAAAGTAATCATAGCGATGCGCGAACGCAGCGTCGAAGTGTCCTATCATCACGTTCTTTCAGCAACATCGTCAGGCTTTCTTTTAATCTCCTTTGCGTGATTTTGCCCGAGGCCGATGGCTTTTAATCGACAACGTAAAACTTTCACGTCTCATTTCCAGAGTCTTTTAATACTGGTTAATCGAGCTCCGTACAGCGTGCACTCGCCTTGGGCAATGGCGCTTCGTGTATACGAAAGGAACAAAAGAGAAAAAAAACAAAGATAAAAGATGCCAGATGTCTCATCTTCGAGGGACTGATTTCGTTTCTTTGTTAAAGGACATCCTTAGGTTGCAATGACGAGGATAAAGACAAGAGACAAAATTCATCTAAACGAAAGCTTCCTTTTTATCAACCTAGCGTGAGGCAATGTCATCTACGAACTTGCTACTACGATGCTCTCGACACTTACAAAATGACGTTTTGCTTTACAGTTCAGACTGCCGCACAATCAGATCGTTGAATTTGCCGAAGTAGTCTAGAGTTGTTTTTGGAAGAACTCTAATTTAGAGTGTCACGATTCAAGAGGAAAAAAGCAGAATAATAGGCGTGATATCACGTACAAAAACTATCACATTAAATCTGAAATGTTTTTATTCAAATAACTTTATTGAGCAGCAATGTGCCGTTTCGCTTATAAAATATACACTCAGCACTCGTCTGATACCGAGCTCTATTTTTATTTGCGGAAAATTACAAAGATTGGAAAGAAAAAGTAAATGAAAATAAGGAGAAAAACATTCATTGCCGATGTGCAACGCCAAGGGAGCTCTTACAATTGAGCTAATCAATTCAAGGTCAATCATCGTCTAATGCACGACGAAAATTGACGGAAGAATAAACGTATGAATTAGATAAACGCATGGTTTTTCGAGGAACAAACAACAAGTCCGGACATATCACATTGAGATTTGGTAAACTCTAGGCAGATCTCCTTCGCAAATACTCGCTAGACTGTCGTCTCTTTGGCAGGTAGGCTACGTCCGTGGCGCAACTTGTACAGTAGCCCTGAGCGTGATAGACACAGAAAAACGTGGCCGCCTCCTGGGCCTGATGCCCTTGTGTCGCCACATCTTGTGTAGGAGCAACGACGCTCTGTTGTGGTAGGCCTTGGTCCGAGCAGCCGCGCTCTTGGGGCATTGGTAACACTTGAGCTTCACCGTGACAGCTGGTCTCAAGCACGAGATTGGCGCCGCAGCCTCGATTTTCTGATCCGGCGTCTCCGAGCGAATGGTCATCAGCTTGCGAGGCGTGCTCTGCTTTCTGGAGCGTCTGGGCTCGCCGGGTGCGCCGCAGTTGGCTCGCTGAAAGCATGCCTCGCACGAAGAGGCCTCCTGCTCCCAGCATCCGCTGCCTGGCATCGCGGCGCGATCACTGCGTAGACGAGTGCGTGCGTTTAAAACAAGTTAGCGACTCTGATAGTTTTTCTTACAGATGACTCGACTTTTGCTGACTTTCGCAGATCCACGTTCGGGCGCGACTCCAAGCCGCTCCTACAGTCTGATTTCGGACGCGATCGGGATTACCATCTCGTAGCCGCTATCACTGCAGCGCTGTGTTTCGTGCACATTGTCCACGTTAATTCTCAACATTTGTCATCCCGCTTCTACGTCCATTAATGTGCGAACATTTACGAGAAGCTTGGTTAGAAATATCTGGCGCTCTCTGAAACGCTGTGATCGATGATCTAACAAGCACTGCTTCCAACCGAGTGTTAACGAGTTCTATCTGACTTTAATCGTCACACCCCAAATAGCGCGAGATATTTCTTTTTGGACTTCAAGACTACGATCGACTTTTACGAAAATAAGAAACAAATGGCGAAGCTTGGCGTCTACAAAATAACCAACGAGTGATGAGAATAGAGGTGCAATTAACGAAACAAAAGGTCAACTCATACTTTGAATTTTTACGGATAAGATAAGATGATCATTCGTAAACATAGAACATAACAAAAGTCAACAAAAGCAAGCCAGAGCAAATAAAAATAATAGCATAATATGAAGGAGAATAAATCAATTAAATGAGATTAGGTTGAGGGGAGGGGAAGGGAGGGATGATCGAGCCAACAGGAAAGAGGGCCGCCTCAACGAATCAACAAAGATGCCTAATTGATCCACAGTGGTACTTACCCGAGAATAGTAGTCGGTGGTATGACCGTTGTTGCGGGCGCGATCGCCGCTGATGAGGCTGGAAAAACAGGGGGTCCCGGCGGCGCCCTACCTCCTCCGCTGCCACTGAAAAGTTGAACATTTATCGCGATCTATAATTTGGCCACGAGCGGATCCCTTGAGGCGATCGCTTGCGACTGCTTCTTTTAATGCTTATATCTTATTAATTATCGTTTTTGAATATTCTTACTTTAAGGACTGAATCTGACGTTGTTCACTGTTGCTCTGCTGCTGTGGTATAGTCGATGCAGTTTGTTGTTGCGAACCCATAGGTACAGAGATGATTGTTGCTGCCGCTGCTGCAGACGCCCCTTGGTTACTAGCTCGATGCACCTGAAGTTGATGAACTTGAAGTTGAGGTAGATCTTCGGCGAGAAAAGAGCATCGAGAACATTGCCGGCGGTTGTGTACTTTGAGAACGTGTGTGGCGAGACGCTCGGCTCGAGCTGCCTTGTATTCGCAAAGCGCGCAGGCGAACGGTTTGAGGTGGGTGTTGAGGTGTCGTTTCAGACACCAGTTGTCAACACCACTCCAAGAGCAGTAGCAGCATGTGTACCTTTGGGAAATATATTCAAATAAACTTTTAATGCGAAATCATTTCGCGCAAATATTATGAATTTGGCTATAATGAAGTTGCATTATTAGTTTTTACTTTTGCATCACTCGATTTCCATCGTAATATTAGGCAGCGAGCGTATTTACTCTAGTTGGCTTTAATTGCTCGTGGCGATTGGGATAAACAGAAAACTCGATTTCGTTTTTAATTGATCTTATTAATAGGCCATAAAGACTAGTTTGTGCGAAATTATTTTTTCGGCATTGAAAATAAAGAGCCCAGGCGCTTGCCTCTCAACTCTAACTAGACAGCGGTAAACAGCATAAATTAAAAGTTTTCTTTGTTGAAATTCACAAGCGAAAATAAATTGAAACATACTTCAAGCTTATCAAATTCATTCAAATTAGTATAATTTCAAAATACAAGCTCTTCTTTTCTAAACTTACTCTCTACATATTTTCATCCTTAATTAAACTTTCTGATCATTATGCATATCATGCATTTTTCATAAAACGACTTAATTACTGAAATTCCAATCTCTTATCTATACAATCTTGGCAGCTCATTTTTATTTACGGAGATATGAAATGATAGACACGATAATTTGCGGGCTGCATATTTGAGAGACTGGAAACTTATAGCTAAGAAAATTAAAATTTATGCCGAATACTTTGAGACAAAAAAAAATTTAATATTATTTTCAGATAATCGGGTTTTATAGGTCAACAAAGAAAACAGTGACTCTGCCCTTCTAAAAAAACCAAACTACAGGTATGGCAAATCAACAAAGAAGAGAATGCTAACCTGCGCTCTTGATTTTTATTAGATGAAGATCCTGCAGTCGACTTGCCAAGTTGAGTTTTGCAAGCAGTGTTCTGCGACCTTCTGGACTGCTGGGAGTTTTGAACGGTGGCTGCTGGAGGCACTGGTTGCGAATGAGCAACGTTGGTGGAACTTGCCATCGCCGCAACCGTGGCTGCATCAAGCGTCGAAGAAATAGCCGTCGTAGCTTGATAAATAGCTGCAGGATTGAGACTGCTGGCTGGCTGCTGTTGTTGCTGCTGTTGGAGATGGACGAGGTCGGCCGGTGAGGTGGGTGCGGGCTGCATCGAGGCCGCGGGTCGCGCCGGCTGGAGCAGCGGCTTGAGACTCGGCGATGCTCCGACAGATTTTCGTATGCGCGACAGTTCGTAGGTGTGATCTCTGCTCGGGTGAACAAGGACGAGATTAGGTATTGGGTTATTGTACATCGAGCATCTTGCACTTGATTCGCGAGCAACATCGGACGCAGTTGCTAACCTGTGCATACGTAGGAAGTGCTTCTTGACGTGGTCTGCTCGGCTGAAGGGCTTGTAGCACACGTAGCAGTGGAAGGGCTTCTCCTCACGGTGGATGTTCTCGTGGCGAGTATACAGATCCCGCCTGTCGGTACCGTACGGGCAGTAGAGGCACGTGTACCTTTTGCCGCTGGCGTTGTTCCCGCCTCCTCCGCCCCCTCCGGCATTTGTCGCTGACTGTTGCGTCGGCGGCCTCGTCGCTGTGGTGCTTGCCACAGGACTTGCTTGCTGTTGTGGTTGGGGCTGCGGCAAAATAAGGGACGATACAACTAAGAAAACCATGACACATTCTCTCTCTCTCTCTCTCTCTCTCTCTCTCTCTCTCTCTCTCTCTCTCTCTCTCTCTCTCTCCCTCTCTCTCCTCTCTCCACTGGGAAATCACCGGCACGTGGGAAATCTTTAGGAAAGATGACGCGCAATTTTCCTTTGTTGCCCGACCAATTACGCTCGTGGTGCACTTCTAGCTTCTTCTGACGAGCTCCCCCTCCTTCACTCCCTCCTTCTCTCACTCTCTCTCGTTCTTTTTTTTGTACGTGCGAGACTCTTTTACTTTGAACGTACGTTCAACGTCTCGTTTTTATAGCTGCGCTTTTTTTTCTATAATTACAACTGAGAACTTGCAAGCTTTGCTTGTACGTTGTTCAATATTTATTTTGATTCTTATTATTAATTGTCTCGTTATCGTTATTGCTTTATTTCGTTTAAATTCATTGGCCTAAAAGTAGGATTGCGTAAACTACCCAGTAGGACATTTCTTTACTTTTATGTGTGTATACATATACGGATAAGCGTTTTTTCATTCCTCAATTAGATTCCTTTTTGCATGTACGTATAAGCCTATAATACGGCAAAAATAATAGAATAATAAATAAATAATTTATTTGGAAAAGTTAGACAAATATGTGATATCAATGAAAAATTATTATGCAAACAATTGTGTAGGTTTTAGGGCGTGTGGACAATTGTTCATGTTTTATTATACTCACAAATTATTGTGCACAAAAACATAGCGTAAGAATTGATATTACACGCTGATTCGTACCATGTTACTGTGCACAATAGTTTATGTGTACAATAAAACCATGCACTATTGTCAGCACGCCGTTTTTAGGAAATAAAAGAGTATTATGTTAAAATTAATATAAACGCGCGCGCGCGCGCGCGTGTGTGTGTGTGTGCCTGTGTCTGTATCTGTGTGTTAATAGCTTCATCAATATTAATTGAGTTTTGCAATTAGTAAACTATTAATAGTTATTTCTGAAAACTCATAGATTTGCTATTCTTCAAAGATAAATTTATTAATTTGTAATATTATTACACGCGGTTAGTGGCACTTCAACATTGTTGAAAGCTTTTACTTGACTCCTACATTTTTATTTAATGTACTAGAACAGCGGTATATACAGGTTGAAATTTTGCAATTTTCAAAAGTTTGAAGTTTGCCTTTTCTAAATTATTATTTGGATAAAAATAGAAATATGTACGAAATGACAATGCGGAAGAAATTTTTATTTTTCGACACTCTGTGCGCAAAGTGCGCACGCTCGACATAAAACGTGCGTTGAAAGTCGCACTTTCCACACGTCGTATAAAAAAATACGGTACGGCACATGTTCACATGCTCGGGAAAGAGTTTCTCGCTTCGCTCAGGCGTAAACGCCACACGAGACAAGAATCTACTTTCCCGCACTTGTGTCGTAATGTACTAATTTACACTAATATAATATTGCGGCCGTTGAAAACCACTGCTATTGAGAAAATTTATTATTGTATGATAAAAATAATGTAATAAATAACAGGAAAAGAAAAAAAGAACGCGTGAGTGTATTAAATAAAGCTAGTATATCTAAATATATAGCTGCAATAAACCATCTGATTGGTCTTAATTGGTATTAATCTTTTAAAAGCACTCACCAGAAATTTTCTAGCATGCTAATAAAGCAAATGCTATTCCAATTACTTTTGTCGTTCAACTATACCCAATGTGGAATTAGTAACGATAAATTGAATTATTCCAATTATCAAAGTTAAAACGTCGATTTTCGTTTTATTTCTTAAACATACAAATTTCGAATTGTAAGAGATACTTATACCGTAACTTATTTGTATGTTGTTCGCATGATTCACGCATGTTCAAGTCCCTTTTACTTGACTAGATATTATAGAAAAAGGTTGTGCAGTTAAAACCATTAGTTGAAAATCTATCGTTAATCATATAAGTTTCAGGAACTGGCGAATAAGAGTCCCATACGGCTCTGCCTACCTTATGATTGCTAATTCAAGTCTTGGAGCGGAATTTGTTTGTCCGAGACAGTTCATATTTACGATTGATTATTTTTTCTCTCGGTATACATTCAACGCATTTGCTGATACAATCCATGAAATATATCTAGCGTACCTGTAGTAGTTGTTGAGGTGGCGTGGATGGTAACTCTTGAAGCAAGAAATTCGGAGCAACGGGCAGTAGAACCGCTGGGGCTGTCTGCGTTTCTTGAGTACGGCGAGTTGGCCGAACATCAAGTCGAACTGCACGTTCTCGCACTTTTTCCAAATAACTCACTATTTCATCAAGTTTGAAATCATTTGTGCGATGCATCCTGCCGCGGCTCCCGCTGTCGTCCAATCGCGGCGCGTGCAGATCTATGAAGTGTTCAGCAACCTCGCGTGCTCCTCCTACCATGCAATCACCTGGCAAAATGAAATACCATATTTACTAAAGCCATCACTTGCTACATTGGATTTCTAATTAGCCAGCGCAAGTTCGCCTCGCAGATGTTGCTTTGCTAGCCATTTGAGCTGATCCAATGCATCGTAGTCGTCAAACGACAGCTATTATAGGCAGATCGCGATGCAACGCTTACCGATTAATCATTTGGATATTGTAGACAGCATTCAACACAACATCAACATCTCCATAGACATGTGCCCAACCGATAATCAATTGATGGATAGACTCAGGAAAAATAAAAATAATACACGAATAAAAAAACGACGAATGGTAACGAGATGAACTAAAAGAGTGCTAAAGAGCCGATCGAAATAAACTCAGTCGAGCGCATGGGCGGTGTAGTGGTACCGTAAGGTCGATGCCGGTGCACTGCACCTGTCAGTGCTTACCGCATTCGTAGCATCGCCAAGTGGACGTAGCGGCCCTATAAGCAGCAATCCGACTGCCATCAGTGCCTTTGAGAGGTTCGTCATCGAGAATCCAACTGGACGTATCGTCGCTAGCTTGCGTAACAGCTTCGTCCTCGTCAATTTTAAATGGTTCTTCTGCCTTGAACGTGACCGACGCCTCGAATTCGTTCTGGACGTTCGAGGCTGTAGAACAACGCGAGTTCGATTATTTAATAATCGCCTTTGGATTTTCTCCAAAAGGTACTTTCTTTTAGCGAGGTTACAAGCAATTTGAGCAATAAGCACCACCCAAATGTAAATATAAACACATGCGTGCGTGCGCGCACGCACACAGACAGGTAGTTTTACCATTCTATTCACGGTATCTAAATTCTTTTTTTTTTTTCACTTTTTTGTTAATCAAAATATTTTACTGCATCTTCTCAACATTAATGCCAAGTTTTATATTTAGAAAACGTACGATTGAATAATTTATATCATTTTGAAAATGACCATTTTTAGAGATTAAAAAATCCTATTTTATTAAGTTCTATTTAATTCATGAATTCGTGAGCATATTTTAAATGAAGTCATATTTTATTTATAAATTTATTTACTAATAAAAATTACATAAGTTGCGAGATCACAATCAACATTCCTCCAGAAGGCTATATAGCCTTGTTCGGAGAATTGATACATAAAATATATTGAATTTTATTAAACTAAACTTAACTGTCAAAAATATACACAATAATAAATTATACAACAGTTTATATAAGTTCTAAACATCAGTTTTAACAAATATAAATATTTGTATTGTATAATTCAGTTATTTCTCTAAGTGATCTCATTAAAATAATTAAATCTGTATATTGTTTTGAATTCCAATTTTTGAATTTTTATTAATGTTCTTTCTGTAGTTACTAACATTTTTTATTTCTTTGGCAGCATATTATAATACTTAATTACTACTACATATCAACTCATTGTGTTAATGTCTTTTTGAACTTTGGTAGGTTTTTTAATCTTGTGTTACTATTAGACTTCATGTACTTATTTTTTAAATCATGTAATGATAAAAAAGTGTTTCGTGTACAAAAACTTGATCTAATCTTGAAATATAATAATGTATAATAAAATTTTTTTACTTCTGATTCTTAAGAGCTTATTTTGTAAATTTTGTAGTAGATATATAATTGTTTTATCTGCAGTGCCCGTGCTATTATTCTATAATTTAGTAAGCTATGAATGTAGGCATAGTAAACCGTTAGTAGCGATTTAGTATTGAATATTTTTGCTAGTTTGTAAAAAATAAGTATTCGATATATAGTTTTATTAACTATACTGTTGACATTCAATTTTAAGTTAAAATCTATTGTACTTCAGTATTTTATTAAACATTCTAATTAAGAACACTATCTTTATAGCTACCTAATGTCATAATTACAAATTTATCTACATCCAGTATTAATTTATTAACTATAAGCCAGTTTGCTACCTCTTCTAAACATATGTTCATTTTGACAATTACATTTTCCCATTTTTTTATCCTTCATAATTATATCAATATCATCTACGTAAGGCAAAATTGAGTCAAGAAGTATTTTATTACTAGAAATCCTTGCCTTCCAATTCGACGTCACCGGGTTCAATATTCTTTTAAAATGTCGTAGACCATAGAAAAATAAGTAACGCGTCCTTTTTTCATCGGCAGATACTTCGAGGGGGTGAGATTCGTCCTCAAAATCCACCCTCAAAAATTATTTTTGCTATTTACCTTAAATTCTAATTGATATCTTACAATGAAATAAATTGTATTTCATTTCTCATTTAAATGTAGAACGAATGCATGCAGTTTCGACCATAAGGAATGCAGCCCTTATTATTTTTTGATAGTTCTACGATTTTTGTGCCTACGTTTATAAAAAAAAAATTTTAATGAGCCAAAAAAACTGGAAAAGTTATTATTGCATCGAAAAATGTATTTTGGGGAATGTTTTGAAAGAACATCTCAAGCTTTTCAACTTTATTATTGTAATCAACCTACGATATTTTTTACAGTTTTTTTGGGCTCAATTAAAAATTTTTTCATAAAAATAGACACAAAACTGGTAAAATTATCAATAAAAAAAATAAGGGTTGCATCTCTTATGGATGAAACTGCATTCATTAATTCTATATTTACATGAGAAGTGAAATTAAATTGATTTCATTGTAAAATATTAATTAGAACTTGAAATTAATTGCAAAATTCTATTTTGACGGTGGACTTTGAGGGTAGATTTCTCTCCCTCGAAGTATTTTTCACCGATAAAAATGAACACTTCTTACTTTTTTTCTATGATCTGCAGTAAATCAAAAGAATATTGAAATCGATGAGATTGGGTTGGAGGATTTCCTTATAAATAAATTATTAGAATATAAAATCAATAGCAACGGACCTAAGATTGTCCCCCCTAGTACGTTAATGTTCACTTTTTTTGTAAAACCTATATATTTTTCCGATTCTTACTCTGTGTTGTCTGCCATTTAACTAACTTTTCACTAATAAAAAAGTATTCTTCGTATTTCATATCTATATAGTTTTTTAGTAAAATATCATGGTTTGTGGTATCAAATTCCTTTGTCAAATCTAGAAAGGTTTCAAGCATAGGTCTACTGTGATCTAAATTACCATGTAAAATATCAATTAATCTTTTAAGAACGTTTTTGGCTTAAATATTTATTAAAAAACTATACCATATCTTATGAATTATATTTCTTTTTTATAAAGTGATGTAGTCTATTATATATAATTTTTTTAAATACTTTTGCTATATGGGAAGTCAAAGATCGCATCGAAAGAGATAGGTTTGTAATTTTCAACTTTCATTTTATCTTTTGCTTTATAAATTGGAATTTCTTGCAGTTTTTTTATGTACCAGGCCAAATTTCTTGTCTAAATGGGTATTGAAAACCTTTGTAGAGGTTCAACAATTGAAATCGTGATATCATTTTATATACTACTAATGATTTAGTATACTACTAATGATGTTTAGCGTGCTCGCGCGTGTATTTTTATAAATCAAAACTTTTATTGCCGATATTGAAAATTCGAAAAGTCAATATGCATTATAGGTTAAGTGATCGTCTGGCCCTTTTCCAAGTAGTCGATGTAGATGGTTCCATACGCATCCCAGAAAACCGTGGCCATAATCTTGCCAGATGACTTTACTGTCTTTGCCTTCTTTGGGGCTGGTTCTCCTGTGGTAATCCATTATTTAGACTATTCTTTGGTTTCAGGAGTGTAGTGGTGTACCCCTGTTTCGTCTACAGTTACGAGTCGACGCCAAAAGTCTTCCGGATTACGACGTATGCGTGCCAAAAGAGCCTCAGAGGTGACCACGCGGGTTCATTTGTTTTCATCAGTGAGCAACCGCGGCACCCATCTTGCTGATATTTTTTACATCCCCAATTTTTCATGCAAAATTGAAATGATTGTACCCTTTGATACCCCTGTGGCCTCAACTAATTCTCGCAATTTTAATCTTCCATCACTCAACACCATATCGTGGATTTTGTTGACCATTTCGGGCGTACTCACTTCTACGGGGCGTCCTGAACAATGTTCATCTTTTGTTGTTGTACGGCCGCGTTTAAATTCATTTACCCAGTTATAAACAGTCTTAAACAGACGGGCAGACTTGCCACGAACGGCATTCAACTCAACTGTGATTTCTTTTGGTGTAAGGCCTTTCAAATGAAAATGTTTTATCACCGCTCGAAACTCTGTTTTTTCCATTTTCCAAATAAACCAATAACTTTTTGTTCAACCAACGCTCACAAAAAAACGACTTAATGAATCGAGCTGAAACTTAGTACGTTATCTAGTTAGTAGTATTGCTTGCCAAAAACATCATAATTTAAGCGTGACGAGCACCATCTCTTGGATTTTGTAAAGACTTATTGACCCCCCCTCGTAGTTAGATTTTCCATGTAGTTATTTATATCTGCATTTTTTCCCTCAAAAATAATTTTTTTAAGTTCTTTAATAATTGACGGACTGTACTTTGATTTATCTAGTTTGTTACCAGATTTTTTTAGTTTTCGTTTTTCTTTTAATTTATCTGAGATTGTTTTGGAATCAAGAGTATAACATTTTCATTTTTTATTTTGATATTTCTGAGTTGCTATATTGATAGATATGTGGATATTATTATTTATTTTTTATAGCTTGTTGAATTTTAAGCGCTATTTTACACGTTAGTTTATCACTTGGTATATTTCTGAAAGTGTCTAGTTTGTATTTTTAATATACAGAGAACTATGCTCTATGTTAGTTCTGATTAATGCATCATAATTTATGACGATTAGAGAATGATCTGAGGTTAAGTCAAAACATGATTTGGCGATTAGTTTATTTAGACGAACGCTTTTTATAATAATGAAGTCTATTAACTCGGATAGCTTATTAGTATCGGAGGACCAGTAGCTGGTTTCGCACGTAGATATTGATGTTAGGTTTTTTGCTTGTATTACTGAATGAAGATTGGTTCCTATTGAATTGGGAGTTATTGACCTTTTTCTTTTCCATGGATATTTTGCATTGTAGTCACATCCCATTACAAATCGATTTTATAGACTTTCAAATAATGAAACGTGATTTTCTTTCTTTTCAAATTTTAAAACGTGATTTTCTTCGCTGATAGTGTGTTTCGGAAGATAGTATATTGCAGAGAATGTCATTAAGCTATTCTTATCTGCGATTTCTACATTTATTGTCTGCAAAAAATCGTATTGGTATGCTTCAACGTCGTGATGTTAAATAGTGGTTTTGATTATTATTGGATTTCCTTCATGTGCTTTACCGTCGAGGTGATTAGCATTGTAGTATTGAAGTATTATTAAATTTCTAAATAATTTTTATGTAGGCATGAAGTGTATTTAAGAAATAAACAGTAAGTTGTTGTTATTTTCTATGAGAAATCGCTTTCGCTCAATGCTTCTTTATGCTAAGTCGTTTCCATTTCAAATTACTATTCTTAATGCAGTAATCATTTAGTCTCATTTATGAGAATGACGGTCATATTGAGTACTGTGCCCATTCAGTTCATTAGCTGAAACATCATGGTTTCTAATTACGAGTGACTGTTGTTATTTTCTGTTGACTGTTTCATGTCAATTTATTTGGAATCTTCAATTTTGTAAACACTACCGCTTGCTGACTGTGTATATGTAATGTTTGGTCTAAAAGTATTTTGAGGCCTTAGTGTTTGTTATGGGCTAAGTGCTGGGAATAATTTTTGTTGAAGAAGTTTTTTTGTGCTGCAACCTTTATAATTAACTACGTGATTTTCGCCGCAGATAGTTTATTTGACAACTTTTATTTTGGTTTGATTAGGATAATTTGAGATGAGGTCATTATTCGCACATTTAACACAGACTGGAGTTCTGTGGCAATAATTTTGTGTATGACCATATTTCTGGCATCACATGCATTGCGGAGTATCTCCAGTTTTGTATGGTTCTTTGAAAATGATTAATATTTCGTAAGTTTTATTATTTCGTATATTTATTTATTATTTTTATTAGTTTTTATTTTCATGAAATTGGAAATGGTTGTTTCCTTATGTGCATATTTATAGAAATTTTTATTACTTTGTAATTTTACGATTCAATTTATTGTCTTAACGCATTTCCGTCAACTGAGGGATGCATGTTTTTTAGAATAGTTTTAAATGGTCTGTTTTCTTTTTTTATGTGTAAAAATCGGTGTTTTTTTCAAATTTATTTATTTTATTGGTGAATGATTCCGGATTATTAATTTGAATTTGTATTTCATTATTGTTTAGGAATTTTATTGTGTATTCATTTTTCGCGATTTGATTGAGGGGATCATGTTACAGACAGATATTTAAAATGCCACTTACGAATATTAACGATGATTTTTGCGGTTTAAGGGTTGCCGACGTTATATTTACATTACTTGCTCTGTTTCCTTCTTTAACTTCTAATACACCTAATTTGTTGCTTACTTCAATAGCTGCTTTTCTGAAAATTCCTAGTCAATATTTGATATTTCTCTGCTTTTACTTGATTATTCTATTTAATTTTAGGTAATTCCTGGATCTTTTGTTTTTATAGTATTCTATTCTTTATCTTTTCTTTTTCTTCTGTGTTTTTTATTATTAATAATGTCAGCATTATTTGATTGTTTGCAACCACAATGACTGATTTTACTTTTAATTTTGATTTGAACCGTTTACAATTTTAATTCACACTTCACATGAGATTTATATGAAAACACTTACTCCGAGATGCTTAGATTTTCGAGGAGTGTTTCGTCGCATATCTGTTCAAGAAGAGTGCTGTAAGACAATTGGGAAACTGCTACGTAAACTTAAAATTATTGTAATATTATTTATAACTTCGTACTATAAGGTAACATTAATCTAAAACTAACAAAATAATACACATTTTAGATGTCATTTTTTTTGCATAACACAACGAAACTATTATCTTTAATATGTCTTGTTAGGCTAAAATCAACACTTCAGTAACACCTATCAGTGACTTAAGTAGTTCATTTTTGCACCGTGTTTAAAGCATTAGCTGGCGTTCGTATTCTAACCTCACGGTGCAAAATTGATCCACCTGAAGTCACGGATAAATAAATTGTAAGTACTGATTGAATATTAACAATGCTATAAAATTAATCCTTGGTGGCATTATTCGGGCTTTTACGCGTAGAAAACGCTCAATTTGTAATGGAGTCGGTTATGTGTAAGGAGCATCTCAGCAACTCCTCGACTATTACAGGCCAGGAGACCGCAGAGGGGATGGCTCTTGAGCGGTTTCGCGTTCATTACAGCCTGAGAGAATGACTCATCCTCTGTCGTTTTTCGACCTACTAGTTTTACAATACGAGTCACAAGGGGCAAATGATAACTCTAAACTATGGGTGTATTTGCCTATTAAGCGATCTCACTATTTATTAAGCATCACGGCCGGGACGAGGCAGATACGATACTGGTAGCTTAACTGGTACCATATTTGTAGCATAAGTATTCCATCGCTGTATAGCCTGATTATCGGCCACGCATGTGTTCGGGAGCTAATATCGCGCTGTGCAATAATGGGCTACTTAAGTTACATATATCGTAACATACCATTATATAAAATATATCTCGAAAGTGCTAGAACCAAAAAACTTCCTAGAATCTTTGAAAATAATAAAATTAGCACATTTAAGGTAAGTTCTGTGACCAATTGCGTCAGAGTATTCTACCTTAAATTTTACATTTAAAACATACAAACACATATATATTCTTCGTGATTTAAAGTCATCTCCAAAAATTAGTGTTTTTTCAAGAACACGAATTGATATTTTCAAAAAAAAAAATTAAATGATAAGATCTCAAATTAGAGATGCATGTTTCAGAAATGCAGTAGAATATCTTCATTGAAAAAAACGGGAAAAATGTTGATCTGGTGAGTTGATGTGACATTGCTCTCTCTCTCTCTCTCTCTCTCTCTCTCTCTCTCTCTCACACACACACACATGCGCGCGCGCGCGCTATTAAGTCACTGCTATTTCCTTCTCTGTTGCTACTTTTCAGCCCACGAATCTGATTTAACTTGTCTGACTTTACATAATATCTGTTCATTCCATGTTTAAACTGGCACTCAAATATAACGAATAGTTGATAGCATTGTGACCATAGACATCGGCAGCGCAACATCCGTTATATCGCACCGAACAAATAAACGTTTGAGGCATGAACGTGCATCGCAGGACTTTAACGGCGGCTATTATATCAATTAAATTTGATTCAACACTTTCCTAATTTGGCATCTTTTGGATATTAATAATCAAATAATCGGCTAAAAAAATTAACAAACGTTTGTAGATTTTCGACACTCCGTGCGGAAAGTGTGTTTTTCCCGCACGCTCGGCAAAAAACGTGCGTTGAAAATCGCACTTTCCACACGTCGTATAAAAAAATACGGTACGGCACATGTTCGGGAAAGAGTTTCTCGTCTCGTGTACCTTTCCACCCTCGCTTCGCTCGGGCGTAAACGCCATACGAGACAAGAATCTATTTTCCCGCACTTGTATCGTAATGTACTATTATGAACATCATCATGTCTTCATTGTTGATCGCGTTATTCGGTTTTCATATTTTATGCACGGACGTATGAAGCGCTGCCTCCTTTCAGGAAGGCTCATTCAAGAAAAACAAGGCATAACTACAATATTTCTGTCTTACTTCTGTGATCAGGATCGTCGCCATAGAGTTTCCTAGTGATTTCCTTGAACATATCCTCGTAGCAATCAAGGCGCCCGATACCTGCGCCACTTGACTCCATTTCGACCACTGACTACTAGCGGCGCCACCTCCTTGTGCAGGATCTCTCTCTCTCTCTCTCTCTCTCTCTCTCTCCACAGTCCCCTCTTCGCAATAGCAAGATTATCGATACCTGCTGGTAGGATGAGGACTCTTATACTTTATACTTTTGTACCTGCCGACATTGAAAAGTGCACGTCTATAAAATATATACCAAATATATACCATTAGGGTGCAACTGTCTCTGACACAATTTTTTCTTTTACCCCTCCCCCCTTCAAGAGAGAGTAAGTATGAATTTTTATATATGTATACACTGGAAGATAGGTCAATTTCTATTTTCGATCTTCACATGCCAGATTTTCTTCTAGTTGCAAAGCTTAAAAGATTAATTTAAATGCCTAGCAAAAATATCAAGAAATACCAAAATTAAATAAAGTTAGAATTACAGGACACTGTGAGTACCCAGCATATTTAGTTATTTTACGGTAGCTGTAGACTGTTGCAATAAGCAATCAGGTTCCACATATTGATTCGAATCAATTTCTCTACAAAAAAGCTATAAAGACGGAGAACAGATAAATTAGGTGCTGCGTAGCTTCTGCGTCGTTTTCATCGCTAGACTACGTGATCATTCGAATTACTACATTTCTATACTAGTGCGAGAATATTTCATACTCCGTGCGCAAAGTGCGTCTTTCCCGCACATTCGGTAGTAAACGTGCGTTGAAAATCACACTTTCCAAACGTCGTATAAAAAAATACGGTACGGCACATGTTCGGGAAAGAGTTTCTCGTCTAGTGTACCTTTCCACCCTCGCCTCGCTCGGGTGTAAACGCCGTACGAGACGAGAATCTACTTTTCCGTACTTGTATCGTAATATACTATTAGCATCATGTGGACGTTTGCACAGAGTGAAGTGAGGGCAAAAAGACCGTATTAGACTGAAATCCTTTTCTCGCAAATGTATCTAATTTTATTTTTCGATACGACGTATGTGGGAAGAGATTTTAAGCATGCTCCATTTCTTGAGCGTGAATGAAGTTGTGTCTCCGCACACGGAGTATCGAGAAAAAGATTTAGATTATAGTACGAGAAAGTAATTTGAGTCTCTTGTGGATGTTTGCGCACGAGCGAAGCGAGGTGCAATTTCTTGCACATCTTTATTTTTCGATTAGACGTGTGTGAGACGAGGTTTCAAGCACAGTTGCATTCCTGAGCGTTTGCAAATCAAGGCTTCGCACATGGAGTGTTGAAAATATGTAAGCAAATCTTTGTTCTCGGCAATTGCTAATTCGTTAGCCATTCAAGTTTTTGTTCGTGTATTCACGATTAAGAGTGTGGCCGCTTGTAAGAAGTGCGGAACATGGAATAGAAATTTTCCAGCAGCCAGATGGAAATTGAATCGCAGTGGAAAGTTTAGGAGAAGCGAGGAGACCAACCTGCTAAGCAGTTAACGACTTTTCGTCGCTCGTAAGCATATAGAGCACGAGCAGGCAATGTGATTAAAAGTAGAGATTAGCAAGTCTGGCTTTCTTGTCTATTGCTCTGTTTGACAACTGCTCATTTTAGCTTAACTTTTAGCTTAATCCTTGAAATGCGTACTTGATTTAATGGCTACTCGAAACAACGTAATGGTTCAAATTGTAATATATTATCTCGCGATACCTTGGCATAGAAATATAGAAGCTGGCAGTTCTTTGTTTTTGAACCATTCAATACCAACATATCGATAAACAAACAAACACATAAAAACTTAAAGTATATTTATTACATATATTAGGTAAAGTATATTTTATGCTTTATTTCCTGCGGTATTACTGATCATTCCTTTATCTTGTTCCATTCATGTATATGTATATAGTTATATATATGCAAAAGAAACATGTTGGCGTTTTAACCAAATTTTACCTGCGTATATAGAATAGTTGGAGCTTCTCTTCACATAGCGAATATATAGGACTGGAACTAGGTCGAAACTGAATCGGCCGTCAATTGCGGCGCCCATTTAACGACCACAATTTTCGCCAGAGTTCTAATAGGGCCTGCTCTACAAAGAAGCAATGAGAGAGACAGAAAGACAGAGAATTAAAAGAAGAAAGAGAGAAAGAGATTGACTCTCAACATTAATTCCGTTCTTTTCAGTCTTTTTTTTAATACTACTGTTCCTTCATATCTGAATTGAAAAATTAAATATACTGATGAAACTCTGACAGTTATTGAATAGGATCATCGAAAAAATGAACTATGCGAATAAGCTGTGATGTATAACGTCTTGAAATGTTTTGGGTAATTACGTAATTGTTTGCTATTTTAACAAATTGGAGTAATTCTCAAGACAATTATCTTTCTGTATATACTGCTGGTTTCAATACCGTAGTCAATTGGTATTATCACTAAACTTTGTCTGATTTGAATAAACAAGAATTGATTTTTGCAAATAGGTTAATGCACGAATTGTTATCGCTACTTAAATTACGTTATTTCTAAGTTTAAAAATGTTATACATTAGTATAACATTTTTAAACTTATAAATGTTGTTGGGTGTTTATACAAAAATTTCATATTCACTGGCAAAATAAAATCTATTATTTTTACCTTACTTTATTCATTCAACTATTTGTATTATTATTCTGGTATGTTTAAATTAACAGTCAAATTCAATTTGATAGGAAAGAGTTTATTACCTAACTAGATACAAGTGCGGGAAAGTAGATTCTCTTATATTATATATGAGTATTATTTCATATCGAAATTGAAATTTCATGTACTTTTGAGAAAGCGAAAATTTTATTTAACAGGTTTTATGCAGTTCAATCATTCTTGCGATAAAGAATATATAATCGAGTTTTATTGGATGTTTGTTTTGAATACAATAAGATGGTATGTACTTAATCATATTCATTTAATCACGATGTATAAATTTGAATAATTTTCAATAACTATAATGCTTAATCGTATTTAATTAGCTTTAATAAAATAAAATGAATGGCGAATGAAGGAATTACTAGACTGTATTTTATTGAATGGTTTTTTAATACAAAAACAAAATTTTTAATAAATAACCAATTAAGGAACTGGTTAATCACATTTAATTGCATTCTACTTTACGATTTCTAATGATCGTTTAATCATGTAATCGACCAATCATCATTTCTAAATAATTTTTTATATATTTTAACAAACAATGAATAAAAGAATTGTCAATGATACTTTATTGAGAGTAAACATTATTTAATATTCAAATTATAAACAGATGAAAGATGTACTCTATTTAATTTGATTGGATTATTTTTATGATTTCAAAAAAAATGTATTCAATTAAATTCATTTGAGTAGATATTTTACCTATTTGTAAATTATATATGGTATATCTACCTAATTACTTTATTGTTTTTTTACGCAGCATTTTTATATTATGTTCAATTGGCGAAAAAAAAATTTTTCTACTCACCGAGACAAAATAAAGTGTAATGCATCGTACTGAATGAGCTATCGAACCATGAGCAACGCCTGACAATTCAATATTTTTTGGATTTTAACATATCTTCATATGATTTCCAACTTTTTGTAGAATATCTTAATATTTATAGATATATATTTTTGATAGGAAAGAGTTTATTACCTAACTAGATACAAGTGCGGGAAAGTAGATTCTTGTCACGTGTGGCGTATACGCCCGAGCGAAGCGAGGGTGGAAAGGTACACGAGACGAGAAACTCTTTCCCGAACATGTGCCGTACCGTAATTTTTTAGACGACGTGTAGAAAGTGCGATTTTCAACGCACGTTTACTGCCGAGCGTGCGGGAAAGACGCACTTTGCGCACGGAGTGTCGAAAAGTAGATTTTCGCTCGCTTTGCTCGGGCGTAAACGCCACACGAGACAAGAATCTACTTTCTCGCACATGTATCGTAATGTACTATTTCGTCTTGTGTAAGGTTTACGGCCAAGCAAAGTGAAGGTGAAAAGGTACAAGAGATGAGAATCTATTTTCCGACCATGTTAGGTAAGGTATTTTTGAAAATAATGTGTGGATAGCGCGAATTTTTTTCGATGAGCGTGCAACAAAGTCATACTTTCCGTATAAGGCCTGTTGAAAAAAGTAAAACCTCATACGATGAAACTTCTGAAACTAAAGCATGTTTACAAATCTCTAAATTTTTAATTCCAGCATTTTTCAATTATAAAAAAAACAGTCATAATCTAAATTATATTCTATCTGTATACATACTTGTTTGCTGCTAGAAAATTTAAAATTATGCAAACAGTTTCTAGATACTATAACCTATGCTCATGAGCTTTTATCTTCTTTGAAAGGTATGTGAGGAGGGAAGTAGATTTTACTTACTGTAATATGATCATCGAAATGATTAATTTAAAAATAAATAATTGATGATTAATATATAATTTTGTATACGTATATACAATATAAGAGTGAATATTTTTTTGTAAAATTACTTTCATAATTTAAATGAAACTTGACAAGTAACATTTTTATGAATTTTTAATACTGTAGATAATGCATAAAAATCTGATTTGTATAAAAATGAAAAAAAATTGATTGATAAACGAAATGTTGGAATAATTAAATGTAAATATTTTTCTTGCATTACTTTTTCGTAGTTTAAGTAGTTTGATTGAAAAGTATCAATGTTTATATGCTATTATAATTTTTACCACCGAAAGATACCAACATTACCGACTGCGGCATCAAAGAATAAAGAAAATTGGCAGGAAAGCAACGAAAATCGTCCGGACAAATTATAATAAAAGTATCCGTGATTAGTAAGAATAGCACAATTCATTAATAACTCCCCGCAATTAAATTTGCGTTAATAACAAAAAATAAAAGTTAAACACTTCCAAATCAATAGCAAATGAATCTGCGTAACGTTTTGATTCAGTTGTTATAAATTATATACAATAATTGAATATGAATTATTAGCAAACATACCACGCAAGATTTTCCAATTAATTAAAATATCATTCAAATCAGCCGTTAACGAAATAAACAATATCTTCCATTAGAATAATACACGTATCTGAAAGATTAGTCTATAAAATAGATCTACAGTTCTGTAAGACAATAACCCCTAAATTAAAACCCTGCTCTTATCGAGCTGTAGCAATAGTAATGTGTTACTTTCATAAATAACTGTTAATGTTAGCTATTTTTAAGTGGATTTTTTGATCCAGGTTAATCTTGAAGTACTTAACATAACTGGTTATTGAAAAGATAAATCATCACTATTAGTACAGTATTTGACGGGAATTCGTGGCGGATATTGTCTATGTTGGAGTAATTGACATTAATATTTATTTGAAAAGTAATTCATTTTGATGGGTATAACCTTTTTGAGACAGTTCTTCTTGAGTCCACTTTACTGATCTTTATGGTGCATGAAATTAAAAATTATATTTCTTTTTAAAGAGATTGTTATAATAATATTTTGATTAGATAGAAAGATTTCACGTAATTTTAACTAATAATTAAACACATTTATTTTCACAAAAATCAAATTAAAATGCTAAATTCCATTTTTACTGATCAAGGAGTGTTCAGCTTTTGAAATTCTTTTATTAACGAAAACTAATATAAACAGTTATTACTGAGCTATACTATTCTTGCTAATCACGCGAAAATTTTTGTTTTCTAAATCGATTTTCTATTGAGTTCTTTTGTTCCGTATCAATCCATATGTGAGACATGATAACTGATATATATATAATGTATAATATGCGTGATATGCAGCGTGTTCTATACAACCTAAGAAGAAAAAAGTTTGGTCTAGAATACATTGTAACAAGTTCCATGCAAAAATCTTCTCAATCATATAACTTTGTTGAAACCAATCGATCGTACTGACACTTTTTCGGATGATAGATAATAATCTAGATTTAGCTAACATGAATATTTGTAATTTATGGAAGAAATTGAAACAAATTTGAAATTCAGAGGAGTCTTGATGTACCATGTTACTGTATCCTGTCTTTAAAAAATGATGAGTGGTCGACATCCAACTTTGTGATTGATAAATGCGTAAAAAGAACACAAAATGTTGAATTTTCGTATACTTTGAGATATTTTTATTATATATGTAGGAATGTGAGATTTATATTCCAATATTATATTCAATTTGTAATTAATTATTATGGATAATAATCTGCAAGAATGATAATATGCACTTAATAAAAAAACGGTTATTTTTTAAAATTCTGGAATTATTAGTACAGTTGGATAATTTGATTTTCATTTGTTACTTTGAAATTTATATCACTGTGTTAAAATTGGGTTGGAAGAAAGAGAATAATTGAATAGAATACAATGAAATAAAACATATTTTTAGTTTCTGTAGTGTTTTTTAATTGTAAGAGTTATGCAAGAAACGAAAACTAATTATCAGAATTTTGAATCTTTCAAATTTAAAGTACGGTCATAGGTGTCTTCACAATGAAGTAAACAAAAAATGCACTGATACTAAAAGTATTATTAACATTAATTCAAGACTGAGATCAAATCAAACCACTGATATTAAATAAAGTTTAATGTTGTGTAGCAGTATAATATTTTAGTACAATTTTATTAATCATGGGAATCTTTTGGATTATTGATTTTTTCGTTATATTTTGAAATGAGTAAAAGTTCATAGATTTTTGTGAAATAAATGCAAATTGAATTTTTATACACCAATGGATATCGATAGTTGTCGTGTATTTCAATCTATATAATTTATGCACGTGTACGTACTATTAGAATCTTAATGTTGACACGTGAAAGGTTGAATTAATGCACTACATAACGAAAATATAAAAAAAAGAGTACGCTAAAGAAAGCTGGTTATACAAAATAAAATATGCATTTCGATGTGCAAATTGATAATCGAAATGGTTCGTTGATTGGACATACGGTATCCAAACAAATATCGTATTTGACGAGAGAGAGAAACAGTGCGGAGAATATTGGAAAGAGACACAGATAGATAAGAAACAGCATGATAAGAAGGAAGAGAAATGAGAAAATAATTGCAAAGAGTACTGAACAGACCAAAGCACAATTTTCATAGATAAATCAATACCCCTCACTTTATGGTGTATACAATGCATTTTTCTGTGTATCTACCTTTATACCAAAAGGAAAAGGTATTGTATATAACAACGCGTGCGCGCGCGTCAGGTACTATATAAGTTGAGAGCCGCTGTTTGAAGGGACGGCGAAGCAAAATTTTGAGACGGAAGTGGCAGCAGTGGCGTCTTGTGTCCAAGGACGCCTACGCTCTCTCTTTCTCTCGTTATATATATATATATATATATATATATATATATATATATATATAATATATATACTCCTATTTTACTCGTTTAATCATTCGCTCGATACACACATGCGCGACAAGCACGCGAAATCGACCGGCATGCGCACTTGGTTCTCAATGTTGTAGGCATAACCGCATCACGCTCTGGAATAACAATCGCGTCTACAGACACGCGCAGAGAGGGCTACTTGCATCACGAAACGCGCTGTTCTTAGTACTTCCGATTCTATTTCGGAAACTCTAGTCAATAAACAAGTGTATATACAACATTGCACGCATGATGTGCATTTACTCACAGTTTTTATCTCCTTTCTCTTTCTCTCTGTCTGCAGAGCGTCCTTCTTTTCCTCCTTTTCCGCTTTTCGGACTGTCAGCCGGATTAAGCAGCACTACTAGGCTAGAAACCAAGTGAAAGATGGTAGGCACTTAATAGTTTTCCACTGTTGACGAAGCAAACGGAATAGCTAGAATAAGTAGAGGCGCAGTAAGGTTATGAGAGGAGTAAGTTGCTCCTCGTTGTTTCCTCGCTGGCAGCCGGGTGGCTAGTGGGTGGTAGCAGGCGGGGTGGCAAAGTGGGCGGTGGGTGGCGTTGCGAGCACTGCCAGGCAGCTCGTCTCCTGACTCTTTCTCTGTCTGTCTGTCTCTCTCCCTCTCTAACTACTCCCTCTCAAGTCGTGTTGCCGACTAACTCCCTCTCTCTGCTTTGACTGTTCTCTCCGACTCTGTATATAGTTATTCGGCGCTCGCTGGCTCACTGTATACTCAGTGGAGTGAGGTGCCATCGTCGCGCCACCCCCTCATTTCGAAGGGAAAGTCGCAGCAGCAGCCGCCGCCGCCGCCGCCGACGGTCGTCGCAGATGCGGGGCCCGTTTTCTTCCTTTACAAAACGAGGGACGAAGAGAAAGAAACACTGTGTCAGCGGCGCACGTGTTTCGAAGGAGAGAAGGCTCCCCCTTCGAACGTCATCGCAAACGTTCGCCTCCCCTCCCTTTGTAGGGACCAAGCGAGTGCAGGTATGCCGGCTTATTGTAGGTATGAGAGAAGAAAAGTCGGAAGGATTGCTGTGAGAAATCTCCGTGCCCCTCTCCCACTATCATGCCTGCTTATTACTTTTTATATCTAAGAATTTTTTATTTCCCATTATAAAATACAATATATGCATCTCTTATATTAATCAGATTCGCGCACTGTCGAGAATAAAGAGTTTTATTTCCTTTTAGGCGTTGCTATATTATAAAATAAAAGATAAAATCTACGTATATACAAAATTTTTAGAAGCTATATACCAAAGCAGAATAATAGTATATTTTCCGCATTCTAACCTCTAAATCGTACCTTCGGTACATGTTTCCGTCTCGTACGGAAAAATAACACGCGAAAAGGCTTTCTGACGAAATTCGCTTCCAATTCGTGCTGTAAACTTCTCGTTTTGTCATAAAAACCTTTGCACACCCATTAGAAAATGTACCAATACAATAACGTGTGAGTTAAGTAGCCAATGATGAGCAATAGCACAGCCTGATATTATAGCGCCCGAGCATAAATAACGGCATTATATCACGCCGTGAAACGATGGAATACTTGAATCATAATTATCATATAATATTGTATAGTACTACCGATCTTATATGAGCACTTGAGGTTTGTCTATCTGTGTCTTAAGATGGATCAGTGGTGCATAGTGAGACAGGTTAGGGCACTAGCGTTAGTAAGTGCTCTAAGCACGGTGCAAAATAGTACATTACGATACAAGTGCGGGAAAGTAGATTCTTGTCTCGTGTGGCGTTTACGCCCGAGCGAAGCGTCCGTTCGTTGAAAATCGCACTTTCCACGTGTTGTATCAAAAAATACGGTACGGCACATGTTCGGGAAAGAGTTTCTCATCTCGTGTACCTTTCCACCCTCGCTTCGCTCGGACGTAAACGCCACACGAGACAAGAATCTACTTTCCCGTACTTGTATAGTAATGTACTATTAGCAACATAAACTGACTCACATTTCATGATAATTAGAAAAAATTTCATAACAGTAAATTCGATAATAACACACATTTTCCACGATTTTGTTCAAAAATGAAAACATTTATTTGAAAAAAATTAGGTAAATACTTCGAACATCTAAAAACAAAAGAATGTTGATTTTCAGTAAATTTGAAAAATTGTAATAACAATGCTTGTAAAACTAAAAAATGTCGATGTCAATAGCAATAAAAACTCGTATATTGACCTGATATTGAGTTTAAAACATCACTCGTCTGTAATTGTACTTAAAACATTTGAATTTATCAATTTGAAAGCAACAAAAACAAAAAGTTTAATGATATTATGTTTTAATAATCTCTATGCTACTAATTCGTAGCTAACGTAGCGATAATAACAATGAATTTGACGGAGGCTTGATCTGGGGCTGTTTTTTGAATTTGTTTTTTTAAGCGAAATTTTTGATTATTAAAAATTTGAAATCTGTTATTTTTCGACTTTACTACTAAATTTAAATGGCAACAATTGAACCAATTTTATCTTTTCAGAAATCGAAAATTAAGCTCTTCTTTATGGTCTGACGTCTAGACTGCTGCGACCATGAACGACGCGAAATAGATTTAAAAAAACATGCACTTTAAACACAGGTAGCACAAGGTAGAGAGCTATTTTTATTTAAGATATTGATATAAAAATAGAAGGAAATTCGTAAATGGACATGTACCAACCGTAATATCGAATATGTCTTATATAAACGCGTTTTTCAATTTCTCAAACAAATTTTATGTTACTTACTTCTTTTCTACAATATATCTGTGTTTTGAATTGGCACCTGATCGTTTACAATTTTTTCTATCATTCCAATATACTAGTATCATCAAAACACCTCTTGCGCTTATCTCCTCTGTTCCATTAATATTCAGTTTCATGCTTGAATCAATTCTAAAATATACTACAATCAAATCTACTGTATCTAAAATATACTATAAACATACTATAAATATAAAATATACTATAAATTAAATCTACTTTATCTAAAATATACTATAAGTCAAATTTAAAATACACCACACATTAATCGATCACATGATTTGAAACGCTTCACGTTTGTTTTTATTAATTGATAAATAAAAAGCCAATTCACAGATTTAATAATATTTTTAAATCTAATTACGTAGCAGTATTTTGAATGTCTAGCTATACGTATATATAGATAATGAGCAGCGTATTATGTTAGTTTCTATTTTTTTTTCTTTTTGAATATATATCGAACCGTGAGCAACGCCTGACAATTCAATATTTTTTGGATTTTAACATATCTTCATATGATTTCTAACTTTTTGTAGAATATCTTAATATTTATAGATATATATTTTTGTAACAATAATGCTATAAATTAGTTTTAGCTATTTTGGCGTAGTTCTTTTCTTAAAATCAATTTAAAAATGCTAACTTTCAGCAATAACTGTTCATCTTGACAATTTTGCGGTTTACATTAATAGATATAATTTCCACAAATTTTTTGAATAAATTACTGCATCGAATACGTTGAAATCATTTTTCATTATTTTATATGAACTAATACATCGGCTTCTAATTTTATTCATTGTTAATGATGTTTATTCGAAGACAAACTTTATAACAAACACTCAATAAATTGAATCGGAGTGCCTTACAATTATATTATCACACTATTTTGAGGTTCTGTCGAGAAGCCATCAAGTGAATTTCAAGTATTATTCTATTTTCAATATGTGCAAAAAGTTAATTAATTTTCATTTATTCCATTAATTGATCATAAATTCATATGACATTTCTCAAACTATTTTTTAGCGCTAATTCGTTGAATGTATTAGCTGCTGTCGCTAATCCCTGTTCGTTAAAAAAAATTTCATTGAAAACTATTAAAAAATAAATGACTGAATTCCAATTCTTGATCTAAACACTCAAAATGACCATTCAAATATGTGTGTGTGTGTGTGTGTGTGTATGATTAAAATCTGTTCAATAGATTATGATTAAATTTTATTGAATTATAATGATTATGAATCATTTTCAATTATATATATTGAAATTTAATGATATTTAAAGAAATAACAATTATACCAACTGATATCAATAGATTTCAATAATATACTAGTTTTCATTAATCCCCTTTTCATGTCACATATGACTTAAATGACTCTTCCCATTAAGTCAATTTTATAGAGTATAATATTCAAACATGTAAGCATGACGGACAAAAGAGCACACAATATGCTACAGTTTCTTACATGTAAATTTTTTACACAATGACTTTTGTTAAAACAACCAGTTGACGAAGTAGATTCATTCTGCTTATTATTATAAAGTTAACATCTACAAGTAATCTAAGAGTTTATTATAATTATTTGCCATGTTATTTTCACAACACTAATAACTGTATTGTCAGGTGTTAAAATCTTTTTTTTTTATAATAAATATATCTCGATGAGGCCACAACATTAGTGGCGAAACGTTGATATTCAATGGACTAAATTGGTGGTTTATTGTTTCATTATTTACAGAGGACTGACCTTTTAGAAATTGATTTTATGATCGTGAATATAGATTTCAATAATATTTAAGGCAAAATTAGTTAATACATTCCTCTTTTTAATAAAAAAAAATTATTCGTCTATCTTATTTTTCTAGATGTTTTCTAGATTTAACATTTTTACCCACGCTTTTTACATTGCACATTGATCCCTATTATTAAATTATTAAATAATTAAAAATCATCTACGATATTTTTTCTACTTATTCGTGATTTAAAACCACGATCCTGAGGTCGACAGCCACGAGGCTTTTCTATTGACCCATGAGCATTATTTCATATCGAAATTGAAATTCCATATACTTTTGAGAAAGCGAAAATTTTATTTAACAGGTTTTATGCAGTTCAATCATTCTTGCGATAAAGAATATATAATCGAGTTTTATTGGATGTTTATTTTGAATACAATAAGATGGTGTGTACTTAATCATATTCATTGAATCACGATGTATAAATTTGAATAATTTTCAATAACTATAATGCTTAATTGTATTTAATTAGCTTTAATAAAATAAAATGAATGTCGAATGAAGGAATTACTAGATTGTATTTTATTAAATGGTTTTTTAATACAAAAACAAAATTTTTAATAAATAACGAATAAAGGAACTGGTTAATCACATTTAATTGCATTCTACTTTACGATTTCTAATGATCGTTTAATCATGTAATCGACCAATCATAATTTCTAAATAATTTTTTATATATTTTAACAAACAATGAATGAAAGAATTGTCAATGATATTTTATTGAGAGTAAACATTATTTAATATTCAAATTATAAACAGATGAAAGATGTACTCTATTTAATTTGATTGGATTATTTATATGATTTAAAAAAAATGTATTCAATTAAATTCATTTGAGTAGATATTTTACCTATTTGTAAATTATATATGGTATATCTACCTAATTACTTTATTGTTTTTTTACGCAGCATTTTTATATTATGTTCAATTGGCGAACAAAAAATTTTTCTACTCACCGAGACAAAATAAAGTGTAATGCATCGTACACAAGTATTAGTGGGAATTACTCATCATATATCACCAGGCAAACAGATAAATGTCCTATTTGGCTGCAATCTGTTTAATGATTAGGACGGC